CCCCAAAACCCCAAAACCCCAAAACCCCAAAACCCCAAAACCCCTCACTTTTGACTAAGACTTGATAAATAAGGAATAAAATATGTCACACCAATTTGGAGGAGAGATCAATGGATGTAGATTTTCTGTTAGAGCTTCAGAGAATAGCCTCAAGCAAAAAGGAATAAATTTTAAGGATCCCCTTAATATTCAAAACTCTCTTTTACTGGTATCTCAAAGATATACATTAAAATCATTAAAATTGCACAGACCTATCGATTCATAACTATCTCGTTCGATTTAAATTCAGCTATCCTTCCTTTATTAAATTTTACATTAAATATTAGGTAATTTCCAGATACTCTCCAATCTCTTACGCTCTAATCACTACTCTGCTACTGCTTCCTCTTCATTTTTCTATAGCATAATCAACAGATAATTACTTTTGTTAATAATCTGTAAATTTTTCCTGATCACATGCTCAGAATGAATCCCAAAGGAATTGCAAGAACTGCGAAAACTCCAGTGATAACTTCGCTGAATCTCAAATCATCATCTATGTAATAAAATTGATTAAGCCGAAAGAAAAGCTACTATTCTGAATGCCGATACTATACCTGTTTCTTCAAGACAGTCATCTCCATGCCAGTCTTCAGTGCACAGTCAAGTACCTTGGAATCAAACTCCTCTGTGGTGACAGAGGAGCTCAACTCCTTCGTTCGTGATTCAAGACTGAGGAGGATATTGGATATCCTCCTCGGAAGGCTCCTGAAGAGAAGTTTCCTCTTCAGAATCATCTGAAGATGACTCTTCAATAGAAGCATCATCAGAAGATGGAGCAGAATCTTCCTCAGTTAGAGTTTCAGCGTCTTCATCTGCAGAATCTTCAGCATCTTCAGATGTAGTATCTGATGCTTCTGTCAAATTATCTGCTGATTCAGCCTCATCTTCTGTAGAAGTTGGACTCTCTTCTGAATCAGGTGATTCTTCATCTGCAGGGGTTGCTGCTTCTTCTGAATCAGCTCCATCAGTTGAGGAGGCATCATCGTCTTGCTGAAGTCTTCCTTGATCACTGGCTTCTCTATTCGAAGTCCCAAAAGACCTGACACTTAACTATATATTTGGTGGCAATCAATTCATTTTTGATTTCTTAAAAGAGGAAATCGTAAGGTATAAAAAGATGCTTTTCACATTTAAGTGCAAATTTATTTTGATTTAATCCAGGATTGACGAGTTACCTTCCTCCGAAATCCGAATGAAGTGAGCAATAAGAGAGAAAATATGAGCACTAAGAAAAGGCTCCTTCTTATTTTTATCATAAAATTTATATTATCCTGGAGACTGAGGGGTTTTGGGGTTTTGGGGTTTTGGGGTTTTGGGG